TCTCTCTCTCTCTCTCTCTATCTACTGTGTTTCTCCAACAATATGCCCCCCCCATAGAAAGGCCCAGCACTGTTTTATACACATGCAATAAAATTAAGCCCTGCCCCCCAAATTTGGGCCTATTTAAAGCATGTGTTCCCCGCCATTTCTCACATCGCTTGAACAACACGAGGTGAAAAATGGGGGGAAGGGTGGGGGTGAAACTTGCCATTAGGAGTGCCCTGCGGGAAGCCTCGGCTAGAGCACCCCGCGAGCAGACTTGCCTCACCAAGCTACTCCTAACGGCCGATAGAAGCGACCCGGTGGCAAGGTGAGTCTGCGCGTGGGGTGCTCTAGGTGAGGGTGTGCTTGGGGGGGAAATTAAGTCACCCCTCAAAAAGATGGCCTAGCTGTTTTTTCGGGGGTCAAAAAAATAAATAAGGCCCAGCCTTATTTTCTGAGAAACACAGTATCTATCTCTCTATCTATCTCTCTATCTCTCTATCTCTCTATCTCTCTATCTCTCTATCTATCATCTATCTATCTATCTATCTACACAAACATACACACACACACCTTCAAAACTGTATCACTGGGTATAAGAGCAATCAATATATAATGACGTTTGCAATCATACAGTACAATTTTTGCATCTTTTCTGTGGGGTCATATACAAGAATATACATTATTCTATTTTAATTTGTCATTTCTCAAAGCAACTCAGGTTTTCTCCCCAATAGGTTCTTCGAATATCTTTCATTCCCCTACTTAAGAAGACCTAACCTGCTGAAATTGTTCTTTCATCACTAGCCTGAATATCACCATTAATATTGCATTATAATACCATATAATCACTAGACTGCAGAATAACGTGTTATTCTGATTAACAAAGGGATAGGCATTCCTACATCTGCATCAGCTGTGCTGCACAAAAGAATGCAGTCACATATCAGCAATATCGGGCAGTGATAATGAAATGGGGACTTTTGCATATTAACATTTGTATACTTCCTTGACAAGGTACATCATAATGCCTCTCTGTTCCTGGGTAGTCTCTGGAACAATGCTATCTCTTCATCAATATTAAAATATAAATGGAAAAATATTTCCAGAATGCAAAAAATGGTAAAAGGCAAGTACTTACATTATTAATAACTTGTCATACTAGAAAATAGCTATGAGGACATAGCCTACAAATGCCATCTATTTATACCCAGTAACTTCTACTGTATATGCTTCCCAGTATTGTGCCTGTATAAAGATTCATCATCAAATAAAGCACCTGTGATTGCATTAAAAAGCTTTTTTTAAACAGCTATCTTCCCCACAAATTTGCATTCTCAGAAAATCTGTATTATGACATAATTTTAAATTCTGCTTCCACATACTCTGATACAAGAATGTGAATTGTTGCTTCCCCTTCCAAACTTGATCACTGCTGCACGCAACCAATTCCCCCCGCCCCCCATGCTAATTTTTGGTCTCTGTTTTGGTCACTTTTGCCTCTCTTCTTATACTTCTATATACTCTCTTTCACTTCACTAGAACTATCTTTATTACACTACACAGCTTCCTGGCAATTTTGAGATAATCTGCAGCCTGATTTTAAATAATGTCTAAGTACTAGTGCAAACTTTCAAGTATCTTGTAATATACTAGTATTAATTTATACAATGTAGGCTGATGAGAAAGAAAACTGTAACATTAAATATCAGAAGTTGGAAATGGACAACTTGCATCTTACAGAGCTGTTCTCCAGACAATACACCATGATCTAATGATCTAAAACAGGGGTGTCAAACTTGCAGCGTCACATCGGTGTCATGTGACGTATCGGAACTTTCCCCCCTTTGTTAAATGGGGTGGGGGAGGGGCAAGTACATGACGCATCTGGCCCATGGGCCGCAAGTTTGACACCCCTGATCTAAAAGAAACCCCCAATTTGGGGAACCATGGATACTACAGGCAACATTTAACTCCAGACCCCACCACAAAAAACAATAATAAAATCTATTGTATTCAAAAAAGTTCCAATAGTTTGGGTAAACTAAAACCTTTGTATTAATTTAATCACTTGTACAATGTTATTACAGATATCGTGAATTACATAAATTGATGCAAAATACAGGTGAAACTCAAAAAATTAGAATATCGTGCAAAAGTTCATTTATTTCAGTAATGCAACTAAAAAGGTGAAACTAATATATGAGATAGACTCAATACATGCAAAGCAAGATAGTTCAAGCCGTGATGTGTCATAATTGTGATGATTATGGCTTACAGCTCATGAAAACCCCAAATCCACAATCTCAGAAAATTAGAATATTGTGAAAAGGTTCAATATTCTTGGCTCAAAGTGTCTCACTCTAATCAGCTAATTAAGCCATAACACCTGCAAAGGGTTCCTGAGCCTTTAAATGGTCTCTCAGTCTGGTTCAGTAGGAATCACAATCATGGGAAAGACTGCTGACCTGACAGTTGTGCAGAAAACCATCATTGACACCCTCCATAAGGAGGGAAAGCCTCAAAAGGTAATTGCAAACAAAGTTGGATGTTCCCAAAGTGCTGTATCAAAGCACATTAATAGAAAGTTATGTGGAAGGGAAAAGTGTGGAAGAAAAAGGTGCACAAGCAGCAGGGATGACCGCAGCCTGGAGAGGATTGTCAGGAAAAGGCCATTCAAAAGTGTTGGGGACTTTCACAAGGAGTGGACTGAGGCTGGAGTCAGTGCATCAAGAGCCACCACACACAGATGGATCCTGGACATGGGCTTCAAATGTCGTATTCCTCTTGTCAAGCCGCTCCTGAACAACAAACAATGTCAGAAGCGTCTTACCTGGGCTAAAGAAAAACAGAAGTGGTCTGTTGCTCAGTGGTCCAAAGTCTTCTTTTCTGATGAGAGCAACTTTTGTATCTCATTTGGAAACCAAGGACCCAGAGTCTGGAGGAAGAATGGTGAGGCACACACTACAAGATGCCTGAAGTCCAGTGTGAAGTTTCCACAGTCTGTGTTGATTTGGGGAGCCATGTCATCTGCTGGTGTTGGTTCACTGTGCTTCATTAAGTCCAGGGTCAATGGAGCCATCTACCAGGAGATTTTGGAGGACTTCATGCTTCCTTCCGCAGATGAGCTTTATGGGGATGCTGACTTCATTCTCCAGCAGGACTTGGCACCTGCCCACACTGCCAAAAGCACCAAAACCTGGTTCAATGACCGTGGGATTACTGTGCTTGATTGGCCAGCAAACTCGCCTGACCTGAACCCCATAGAGAATCTATAGGAATTGCCAAGAGAAAGATGAGAGACATGAGACCGAACAATGCAGAAGAGCTGAAGGCCGCTATTGAAGCATCCTGGTCTTCCATAACACCTCAGCAGTGCCACAGGCTGATCGCTTCCATGCCAGACCGCATTGAGGCAGTAATTGCTGCAAAAGGGGCCCAAACCAAGTACTGAGTACATATGCATGCTTATCCTTTTCAGAAGTCCGATATTGTTCTATGTACAATCCTTGTTTTATTGATTGCATGTAATATTCTAATTTTCTGAGACTGTGGATTTGGGGTTTTCATGAGCTGCAAGCCATAATCATCACAATTACGACAAATCACGGCTTGAACTATCTTGCTTTGCATGTAATGAGTCTATCTCACATATTAGTTTCACCTTTTAAGTTGCATTATTGAAATAAATGAACTTTTGCACGATATTCTAATTTTTCAAGTTTCACCTGTATATGTTACATCATTCATAGTTTTAGTAGACAGTCTGTTTAATGTACTTCACAGTTTAACCCTCCCTGAATGGGTTACGTTATCTGTAGGAAAACAGAGCTCTTCTTGTGAAGCTATTATGTATTAAAATTATCTTGTTTCTCTTTCCAAGTCCAATCAAAATGCCTCACATAAAATAATTCTGGTACAGAGTTTCCAAAGAACCTCCAAACCGTAATCATCAATGATGAAAGTGTGACAATAAAGTGGCCAAATATGGCTTTTTGGATAATTGTTACATTATGCTTGAGCTGCAACTGAAAATGCTTTGACAGGAAAAAGGATTTTAAAATATGCTAGTAGAAGCAAACTACCTTTAAAGTGTACAATCATGAAGCTCTAAACATTTTAGCTGCATTCCTTAATTCCTTCCCAAAATTGGTATCAAATTGTTTTGGCTCATCCACTTCTTTGTCTCCGCACTACTTGTTGGGATGCTGTACACCTCTCTCCCTACTAAGTGGAGACCTCAATCAAAAAAAAAGTAGTGCAGGCTCTGAAGATTTGAATTTTGCTAGTAAAATCACCAATGAGGACACAACCAAAGTAACATTCCAACTAGCCTGACCCACTACAGCAAAAGCTTTTCAATTACAGGAAGACCTGAACAACCTAGACAGTATTTCATCACATTGTTATGTCATGAAGTCCTCTAACTTAGAACTTGAGGGGTCTGATCCAGCAAATTGTTAGCTCCAGTAACCCACAATTAATCAACCACTTGAGGCTGACTCAACAGATAATCAGCAGGAGCAGGTGTGGAAGAAATCAAGGGCCAGTAGGCCAGTGCCTGATCAGATACTCAGCTGCAGAATATACTAGCAGATTTGGAGAACCAAACAAAGGTGATCCACTGAACTCTTTGAGAAGGAGAGATGTCAGGGCATGTGATGGAGCCAAGTGATGGCCCCTAAGTTGGAAGTTACTCATTAATCTCAGAGCTGCATTTCTGTCTTGATTACTTCCTGTTCTGCTCCTAGCCTTTCAATTCAGACTGGCTGACTAAGCTCCTTGATGTTTGTTAGGCTCTCTGCTGCAACTCTATC